GTACATGTACTGTACATGTGACAAGCACTCGACCACACAGGTGCAAAATGCTTTTCCAGTTCTACTAAGACCATAAAAAAACACACCCATCTGAGTGTATTTTTCCCATTAGCAATTCTGTTTTAATTTTGAATGTTGCTGTACTTGAAAATAATGTGCAGGCACTGCACTGGTTCCATATACATGTATTGTGAAAAAAAATGAGATTGAATCCACAAGTTCTGGTAATTACTAGTAGTCGATTCTTGTTACTGTATAACAAAGTTGCAGGGTCCAGATAAATTACTTTGTTAAATACTCAGGACTTTGTTATAAGAGGAGTGAAAAAAAAAAAAAACAACGGAGAAAAACATCCGAATTCAAGAAAGTGAGATTCTGGAAATCTATTCTTTATTACAGAAGTATAACAGTGTTCTCTATGTGGTCCGTAAGTGTGATGTCACTTCAGTTTAAACCCATTCCCACTGTATGTATACCGGTACTGTATATAGAGTTACATGTACATGTATTGATCGCCATTAACATGAAACCATGAAACTGGAAGTTAACGTGCAACATCAGTGATCGTCCAATGGGAGCCTGCAAATCTTGGCACGTCCGCCTTTGAGATGAAGTCACGTAGGAGCCGAATAATGAGAGTTGATTTCAAACTGGTATACATTCATACAATTACATGTACATGTAGCAATTAATAGCAATTACAGCAATTAATAAAGCCTTTTGTAAGTTACACTGTACATTTGAATAAAATCTGATACACTGTCTTTAAATTCACATTAACGTAACAATTTGAATTCTCGATACTAACGACACTGTTGCTACACCGATATATATCATATACTGCTATATGATTCAGGGCAAGCTTTTGCTTAGTTACATATTGACGCCTTGCACCAATGTTTTTAATGGATAAAAAGGGCGCTAAGGAACCAGTCCATTCCAAAGATGGTTGTTGCTGTGCAAAAGCTTGCCCTGAATCACAAGGCATAGCAACAGTGTCTTTAGTCTGGGGAATTAAAATTGTTATGTTTATGTGCAATGAAATAACACTGTGTACCGTATCAGATTTTTATCAAATTTAACTCACAAAAGGCTTATTGCACTTGATGAACCTTCCTCCTTGCCTTCTGTGAGAAATGATTAGATATTTGCTAAAAACTATACTACAAGTATGGTGCATGTACGACATTAACTCCTTTTTTAAACACATGTACTGTGCATATGGACATGTATGTCCTTGGTTGCTCCAACAATCCCAGACTTTTCAGGGAGTTAACGTGCTGCAAATTGTGCTGGCAGAGACTGGAGAATAATTGCAGGGCAGGTGGGAATCTGTCCCGGTAAATTTCACCCCTGAATTGGCAATTTTGTACCTGCAGAGCTTTTTGAAAAGGATGCCAATCCGATTCATCCTAGAGCTGTGCCAGTTAATTGGAAATTACATATCATGCTCCCATCCCCATGAACTTTTTTTTTTTAATTAAGAATTGTGACAAGGCAACTACTGATTTATGAGACAAGGAGGTGTACAGTATGTGGAATAACATTTTGATATCACAACAAAGTAATTAAGGCATACTAAAGGCCAGTTCAGCTTGAACATAACTGTATGTGGGCTGAAAAAATTAAAGAAAAACAAATGTATTCTTGACTGGAATTGAAATTTGAAGGAAAAGAAACACCTGGGGTTATTTGCTTTTTATTTCTTCAAATGATGCTTTAGCCAGTTTCAGCAGGTCTGTTGAGAGCATCTTTATGTACATGTATAAGCTGGAGACGTACGCAATATATGAAAACCTTTTCAAGTCAGAGTGTTTCAGACTTGCCATATGCATTGCTTAAATGCACTTAAATCTGTAAAATGTCCCAACTTTCACCCTGGTACAGTACATGTACTTCAGAACAAATCTTGAATGGCAAATGATTACTTCTATATATGTGAATTGCTCCTGTTGATTTGTTTAGCAACTCACAGTTATTAAATAACGGAGGTTTTTAGGCTGGTTTAATTTGAATGATGTAATATTTCAGTATACCAGTTCATGTAAAACCTTCCATTCAAGTGAATATTTAGTTGTACATCGTACCATATTCTTACAAAAGCAGAAACAAAACGAAATGCTTTAACGTAAAAGAAAAAGTCATCTGGCATTTTTGTCACAGACACACGAATTTAACTGCCATTGATGGGTAAAGACTAGGAATTTTTATTTGACATATTTCGATGCCTCTTAACCGTGTTTTAAAGTACACTGTACACTTTTCTGGGCAACTGGGGGCACTGTTCCTGTAATAGCAATCAAGGACAGCACTATTCAGTTTATATGCTTCTGTTTTAATCATTACACCAAAATTTGCTCATTAAAACATTTCTGGAAAGCTTTGCTCGTTTCATATTACTACATGTACATGTATGTGTGAGCTTACACAACCCTAAATCACATAATAATCAAAAACTTAGGACTGCAAAATTGCAACACATTTTTTTCTGCACAAATTAATGGAACGCTGAGGTATCACCCTGGCATAAAATCACATTTTTGTTCATGAATTTGGCTATTGCATTAGTATAAATGCCAGTTATGCCAATGTACCTTTTGAAATAGCATACATGTACATGTGCATGTATTTAACAAAAATTAAAAATATTGTTAATAGAAGCAGAAAGGTTAATTTTCAAAGGTACTGGTACGTTGTAGTAAAATAGTTTCATTGCATGAACCCTTTAAGTTTACTCCGAACAGCTTGAAATGTGAGTTTAGACCGCAATTTTGTAACCAAAAGTAATGTAAATTTTAATTTTTCCCATCTGGTAGTGCATTGGCTTTCACCGCTGACTATTTTATTTCAACAGGTATCAGTACGTGTATTCAAATATCTGATTATCAGTTGAAAGTCTGAACGGTTGAATAATGGGTGCAGCCCTAGTTTTTCTCAGCGCTGTTTGACGGCAAAATATTGAGTCAGTTTCCTATGGAATGGAGACTTTGGATGGAATTGCAATCAATTCAAAAATACAATGTAGGTAGAATCACTCATGTCTTGTGTAAATGGAGAAGGGCATGTATAATGTACCGGTAAGTCCAGGCACAGAAACCTCAAAGTCTCTGGGATACATTTGTCATTTTTAATTTTTCTTGAAGTATGTGGAGTTATAGTGAGAGGTCTTTGATTGACTACAGTATATACACATGCACATTGCTTGTTCATCTGAGACATAGATATGTACGTAAATACACTGAACATTTACTCTGCACTCTGGTGTCGTTGGTACACGTGTAATAAGCCTGTGAGTTAAATTTGAATACAATCTGGTACACTTGGTTGTTTAAATTCTAGAGAACATAACAGTTTGAATTCTCCATACTAAAGACACTGTTGCTGCAATGTACATGTATACTTATTGATTCGGGCAAGCTTTCACTTACATTTACTGCAGTTACATGTACATGTATGTACAAGATGCCCTGCACCAATACGCTGTTTTCAATGGAAACGAAGGACACAAAGGAACCAGTCCATTCCAACTTGACCCGAATCATGTGGTGTACGTTGTTGCAACAGTGTCTTCATTCTGGGGAAATTAAATTGTTACATTTACTTGTGCAGTAAGATAACTCAGTGTCCTGGTACCAGATTTTATTCAAATTTAACTTGCAAAAGGCTCAATTATTATACACGATGTATGCATGTACATGTATGCACTTTGTTATGAACTTTGTGGCCACTTTATGGCAATAAATGCAAAAGCTTGTTTTCACACTGTAACTATCCTGAAGGCACTTTATCCCAAAGGTACATGTAGCCACACACTGCTGGTATTTATGTTGGGTGTGATGAACTGTATATGATGTAGTGTACATGGTGTATATGTACATGTACGTGTGTATGCACCTGTTGTTTTGATTACCGTGAGGGATGAATCATAATTTGTAAAGATGATTGCTTTGTCAAATCCTGCTACATGTACTGGTACTTATTTTATATTTTGCTTCTCGAAAAGGAAGAAAAGAGTTATGTTTTGCCCAGTCAACACATCACAGTTCCTTAATCCTCATGTATTCAGACTCCCTTACTAGGACAAAATCCATAATTAAAATTAAAATGAATCCTCAAATGAAATGATAATTTTATGTGACATACATGTATATTGCTCCGGCTCTGAAAACCATTAAATTAAAAGTTCATGAACCCTAACAGTCTTAAATATTCCAATTTCAATATGCCTGTACCTACATGTACACCTTTGGGTTAATTTCATTTTAGAGCATAAATTGCTTGGGTACAAATTTCTCTATTACGATTACATACAAAATTGACATATTCCAAGCCAACCAATTGTAGAAAAATTGTCATAACATTTTTAATTTTATACACCTAAGAAAGATGCGGAGAATCACACTTTCAGAGACACTTGGTTTGAGAAATTTTCAAAATGATACTTTATTTTTAAAATGGGGTCAAAGGTCACTGACCCATGTCAAAGGTCATCTTGACTCTTGATTTACAAAGCTAAATTTCCACAACATTAGTGAAAAGAGCATGTTCTTCTGATTATTTTGATACCAAATTTGCATATATTCAATTAAAAAATGAGAGTATTATATATCGTTTTCTACTAAATTGGTGGATTTTAAAGTGAAAACTGTCCATTTTTGTTGATCTCTGCCCTGACCACATGGAAGGGTGGATTCTGCTCAAAATTGGCAAGTATTTATTATTCATTGATGTCTACAAGCACAGCAAGGTTTATCAAAATCTGAAGACCTAAGGTCAAAAAGTGTGTTGGTCTGACATGGAATGGCCCACATGTGAAAAAAATGGTTGCATTCTAATGATTTGTTTGCAAATTCAAAGCACAAAAACCACTGCTCAGAGACACAAGTACTGGTACATGTACGTACCATACATACAATGTACAAGTGAACAGTACATGTATTGTATTGGTTAGTGTGGGGAACCACCTAAACTTGGTCCCTAAACTCTTTATTGTGTCATAGAACTGCAAGCTTTGGACGGTGCCTTCTGACTACGCTGCATTCAATAGATGCACCATCGTCATGACAACTGCCGGCTTTGTGTTCCTCCTGGTGCTCTTCCTGCAGCTCATCGGCAACCTGCGGGCCAGCTGGCACACCAACCATGCGGAGCGGGCATGGCAGTACTGCATCGTGGGTGCAGGCCCAGGAGGGCTCCAGATGGGCTTCTTTCTGGAACGGGCGGGACGGGACTACGTGATCCTGGAGAAGGCCAACACCAGCGGCGCTTTCTTTGTGACCTACCCACGACACCGCAAGCTGATCAGCATCAACAAGAGGCATACCGGCAAGACCAACAAGGAATTCAACTTAAGGCATGACTGGAACTCCTTATTGAGTGATGACGAAAGCTTGCAGATGAAGTAAGTATAATTTACGTCCTTATCTCTCTCCTGATCATCTTCGTCTACGGCAGATCTGGGTGGGGGGGGAGAGGCAACCTCAACCAGGGCCTTGTCCTCCTCCCCTGTTTCTGTTTACAATTTTCCCAATTACCTTCTTCCCAAAAGCTTGTAAAGAGGGCCCCAAAATGTAGCCTCACCCCGCAGAGAGGCCAAAAAAGGTTGCATGAAAAAAGTTTCCTAAGTTTTGGGTCCTCCGTGACAAGCTTCTCTCTCCCCATCGCCATCAGTTCTAGATCTGCCCTTGTCTTTGTCCTTCACAGTAAAAATTCTTTTCACGAATGCCTTTAGTTAAAACTGCCTTTTTAAATCATGTACCACACTTTTTCTTCAAATATTTTCTTTAAAGAGAAAATCCTTCAGAATTTTCATGCTCTTGGTTGCAGAATCCCCAAAGAAAGCAACTTTGAAATGCTAACTCCTTTACTAGCGCAAGAAAAAAACAACGTGTATTTTTCCTCCTCAGATATTATTCCAAAGACTTCTTCCCTCATGCCGACACTTATGTTCGGTACCTCAACGACTACGCCCGGAAACTACAACTCAACATCAAGTACAACACCAACGTTCAAAACATCAGCCGCTCTGCAAACAACGGAACGTTTACTTTCCAGGATCAAGACGGCTACGGTTATTCATGCAGGTAAGATGTGTGCAGAGGGAAGACATTGAATACTGTTTGCGCTGTACGCATATCACGCAATGTTATCTTTGACCAAAAAGGAAATACATACATTGTGTGTTTTAAAGCGCAGTGTTGGCATGGCAGATGTGCGTGTAGATTGAGCGTGAAAATATTTATCTTCTCGATCTGCTTCTGCTGTAAGAAAAAAAATGTTTCAAACACTGGTTACTTCATTGCATGCATATCAAATAAGTTCAAAATGGTTTTGCCATCTTGCAGGACAATCAGGGGAGTGTGGCTAAAAGTGTGAGTACATGTACATCGTAGTTACAGGTTTATGCATCGGGCCGCGGCCAGGGGTTTGAATAAGCTGGGTATATTTTGTGTCATTGGGCAAGCCACTTTTTCCATACTTTTCCTGGAAGCAGGAGTATTTGTGGGTACTCAAATTAGCTTGGGAGTAATCTACCACGGACCAGCATCCCATCCATTGGGAGTAGATATGCTCTCAGCTATGTCGTGCCATTGAAACCGGAGATACCGGCTTAATGAGTTAACCATACTAACGGTATGTTGGCTCATCAGGACAGTCTGTCCTTTTCTAATCCGAAAATACCAGGATTGCCATCCTTCACAGGTACGAGTTGGGCCTACATGTGCATGCCCTCTCAGTGTCAGATTCTCTTTAAACTTTCTATCTGCAGAGTTTAGCCCATTTGCATGTACCAGTATGGTAGATATCACAGTTTGCAGTTATATACATGTACGATACATGTATACTGTCATTAATGATTTAAGCGATTCTTCATCAATTAAAGAATTACCTGTACATGTACATCACTCTATCTCCATTCAAAAAACTGACTTTCTTAAAGAACAGTGTCCCCAGATTTTTCAAACTACGTGTACGGTGCAGGGAATAATTTTCCCGGTATCTTATCGCAATTCGCGATGCATTTTCAGCTATTTGCTATGCACTTTTTTTATGAATTACAGTTGCTGCGATGCAACCAGAAACATACATGTACATGTTTAAGGGCAAATTCATTTAGTACAAGAGAGTGACACTCTCTGCGATCACTGGCCCTGTAATCTGGATTCTTGCCAATAACACAATGAAAACACTCGGTAAGCCTATAATATACAGTCAACTCTCGTTTATAGTACAAAATTGGCCATTATGGAATTACATGTACATGTAAATGCTTACCACCGAATCACTGAATTATTCATAATGCGAGTGGCAGAACTGGAGTGACCTCCAATGAGAATGTGTGCTTGCATGACGTACTCCTGGCCAGACATAGCTATCCAATCATGATGTCCCCTTCTGACATGCTCCTTTCTCGTGCTTATTACAAACTCAGCTTAGACCAGCTTATCAATTAATTGTGCCATTTTCCAATGAATAAATTCAAGGGAAAATCGTGTTTCTCCACAGCACAATTTGTGCAGGAAAGAATACTGCCATGAATAAGCTTTGAGCTGCTAATCAGTCTCGACTTTCACACTAGCCATAGCACATAATGCACTAGCGGCAAGGAGTACTACAGTAACCTTCTAACCGGACCATGACAGTTGATTTGATTCATTGCCTGCAGTGCTGTGCAGTGCACATATAGTCAACTAACTAGGGAGTTTAAGATTTCATATCGCAGACCGAACCACTACGCGGACGCGATGGCCAAGCAACGACGTGAAAAAGCAAAAACTTGTCACATTGAAGGCGACGCACTGGCCGCAGCAACTGAGTATGCTCACTAAAGAATTTACACGCATGTCTGTTTGGCTCTGTTTGGCCGTGCCGTGATTGGGCATTGTGGAATCTTAAACTCCCTATTATCGTTGCATGTGCACTGTCCAGTTGCGTTCTTAACTTTACATTACTCTCAACTCGATCGTTCAATTTGGACTAGACTCTGTGTGGATTCATCGTGGTTTTGGACATGGAATAACTGGAATTGTTTGGAAGTGGACTCTGGATTTATTTATGGATGTTTTTGTCATGTTTTAATTGTGTGCTGTAAATTTGCACTCCCATTACATGAAGGAAAATGCTGTACAAGTGTATCCAACTTTTATGCAAAGATTATTTCGTGTAGCAGATTTGCTATGCAAATTTTTGGCTGAAAATTATTCCCTGCGGTGTAGATACAACATGCAAAACTCTCTCCCCTGGCTCTTTTGGGTTGGAGTGTCTGTGCATATTAGATTTCCTACATGTATGTACCAGTAGCCATCAGACATAGATTTCACCTTGGTTATTACGTGTACATGGATGCACATGCAGGGCAAAGGATCTGGGTCTTTGGTATTCAGCTGCGAAATTTACCTCATTTTCCCTCTCCAGTTTCAGAGCTTGCATTGTCCATCAAGCCCTCCAGAATGTTCTGGGAAAGGAGGGAGGAAGGATTGAGATTTCTGGGTGGATGGAGTGGCGTGTCATAGTGCAGTTTCATCCTATTAAACCTGACTTGGCGTGTGTAGTCACATCCGTCAGCCACGCACAGTGTCATGCCTTCATCTGTAAACCAGGTTCATTGACTAAATCGGTCTGCTACCCCAAAAAAAAAAATCAGAACAGGTTCGAAATTCGATCCCTTTCTCTTTTATTGGCGCTGAATTTTTTCCCTGCAAGCTTTGGTTCGCTTGCCACAGATACTGCTCGCAATTTGTCACAATTCAGATTTAAGTTGCGCTTTTAAGGCTCTGTCAGGGCAAATGGGTCAAACATGCATACATGTAGATTGGCTCCCACACTTGTAGCGTCAGCATGCTGTAGAAATGTAAATTATGACAATTTTTTTTCCCTGTCAGTGTTTTTGGGGCAAGACTTGAGGAAATAGCATTCAGCAAGCACATGTAATGAAAAATCAATTTCCGGTCGGGTGGACAACAGTAGGAGACAGCATTTAGCAAATGAAGCATCAACCGGCGACAGATTTACAAGTGGAGGTTTTTTCCTTCGTAGTGCTTTTTTTTCTCCTCTTTCCACTTTCACTTCATTTCACCATGCACCATCTCATTAGTGCTCAATGAACGTTTTATTACCTGTGTTTTTCCCATTTAATGGTAGGAAAGTAGCAATTAAACAAAAATGGTTACAAAAGTAGCATTTTGTAATACTAGGAAACATAATCCCTGTGGAATCACCTCCCTTCTTTTTTGAGGGGGATGTACAGTGCATTAATTCTCCGGGTATTAAAATTTCTCTGTGCTCTTATCTGGAAAAATTTGTTTCAGAGCAAACAATCCACTCTCACAAGACAATAATTAGAATTCCACATCTGTGCTTTTGACAGCTGGTGTCACCTGCCTGAACTGCTGTTCTTAACATTGTGAATCTGTCGTCCCGGAAATTGAATCCTGTCTTACGCGGGCATGAGCGCCCCTTGGCAGAGACAAAAAACGACAGCAAAAAAAAAAGGAACGAGCCCTCAAGTGCTGTTTGGTCAAGTAAAATATGTGTTGGAAGGGATAAGATTCACCCTGGCTACAAAGTACAAAATGATTCATCTGTTTTCTGAATTTCTCTGAGCGATTGATGTTTATTTCATGGATAAAGATGAAAGATTGGGCACACTTATGATGGCATACATGTACATGTATTGGAGCCTCCAAAATTTGCCATTAAGGTACATGTACCTGCTGTCATAGGTGATACGCACTGGCACCCATGGACATCCATGTATTGTGCATCTGAATCCATACATTTGTAAATGATCTGATTGGTACGTTGTAAGCTGGGGTAGGCTACATGTATGTCTTCATATCTAAGGGTGGTAAGACGTCGTCCAGTTTTGGCTTGTCAGCTTTTATCGTTTGCGTCTGCTCCCCCTGACCTGTCACCAGCCCTCCTAGACTGATTATCTTTTATTTCCCCTTGGACAGCATCCTGTCATAGCATCATCATTCTCAGTCCCCCTGGTCTGGTATGTGTACTCGCTCGTATCCTCTTGCATCCCTCCCAAATGTACCTTTGGTTTTGGTTTGTTTTTTAGTCATTCCTACCTGTTTTTTGCAGAAGTTGTCTCAATCTGTGCCGTCGTCAGCTGCATCAGCAAAAGCCAATTTCCAAACAGCTTCCTCGGCGTGATGTAAATTTGCTTTAATTAGTTTTACTGTTAGCGTGCTTTTAACACTGTGCACATGTGCAGGCCTTCTTGGCAGGGCTGTACCAGATCTTATATTATGAAATATTTGTTTTCGAAATTAAATATTTGGAGGTGAAAATAACTTACATAAAGAAGGGAACAATTCTGTCCTTTGGTCGCAAAGTTGCATTTTAAAGGAACATTGCAAAGTCACAACAAAGGCAGTTGAATGGATGTCATTACAATTATGCCCAAAAGTTACTTTTTCTTCTGATTTTTTCTCAGCTTTATGGGAATTTGGTGCAGCCAAAGACTAAGATTTGATTGAATGGAAAGTTCTACATTTAAATATTGAATTACAAAGATTGGACTTTTCTTGGGTGGGCGAGACGTTGATGTGCTCTCCTGTACATGTACCTTGTTTATGAGTGATTTTTTTTGTACAATTTGAACAAAATACAAATACATTTGTGTAAAGTACGGTATACAGCACATACACATACAATGTACCCTGCAGGTACCATGCACGTACAAGTACTGGTATATGTACCCAAAATCCTGAAATCGGTATCACTAAACCAAAGTGTGTTTGTAACTGAAAAATAAAAAAAAAATTGTCTCCTCAAGTTCATTTGTTACTGATGTTGTTGTATCTTTACTGACGAAATCCAAGGCTGCCATAATAAACACTTTTGATCCTCGTGGCTCTGTATTTGTTGTTTGAAATCCCGAGGTCTTACCTTTGGGGAGTGGAAGATTCGACTCGCGTCGTGGCTTTTAGGAGAAATTAGGATTTGTATTACTCATTTCTGCAGAAGTATGTCTAGACAGGGGATTGATTAAAGAAATCGGTACATTCTGATTAACTGTACTTCGTGAAATGAGACTGTGCAGTCAGCCAGCCACGTGGACATTGTGAAGAGCACGTAGGCAGTGGGATAAACCAGCGTATACCCCTGCGGAAAAACAAAATCCATTAATGCTACTATCGATTGCGTTGGCGCTGATTAAATTTTTGGTTCACTGAACAGCATCTTGCGTAGCAATGGCCTTCAATCTTCAAGTTATTTCTGCGCATTGCACAACATCTTCTACACTGTACCTGTTTTTCTTTCTTTTTCCAATAGGATCAACTATTCCATTACTTTGCGGCCTTACGTTAATACAAAGAATTGTTTTCCTCTCCGTCTTTTTCTGAGTGGGGAACAGCCGAGATTGAAAATAGCTTTATGTTTGTAGCCCGGGACGGTCCCACTACGATTTCAGTGTGCACACCTATCATGCTAGTCAGTGTCGGTCCCTGCTGTTCAATTCCATCCGGAATGAACTCAGGTGTATGATGTCGGTAACTGTTTTCAATTGCTCTCCTTGGAAGATGACGACGCAGTGTTCTCTGGATGGAAAACATAAATCCTCCTGCGTTGGAGACCTGACATTTAGCCGAGCGCAGGATGGAACTGATGCAATGTGACGTGCAGAGAAATAGGGTTAAGTGTCCGGCCGGTACAGGGTCCCGTTGTGATGGATGTGGATACTGTGTTGTCATAGTGACAGCTCTGGAAATTGAGTCACAACGTGTATTTTGGAAAGTAGGGTTTTTTGATTGATTTGTTCCCGTAGGGGTCTGTAGCTTCTGCTTCAACATGTCATTTATTTGAAAAAGTAGATTGGATGGATTTGTACATGTACATGTTTGTACATGCATATGTACTTACAGTATAACTCACAATGACAAGGGACAGTGTTGAACTTTTATTTTTTGTTTTTTAGTCTACACAATTTCAAAATTCAAAAAGAGAAAGAAAAGAAAGAAAAGGTGCTCTTTAAATGTTTAATTATTGAATAAAAACTCCCATTGGAATTTTTGACACAAGAGTGCTTTGCTGAATTGGACCTTAAAATGTCTCACAAGAACCATGTGCATGTATGTGTACATGTGTAAGAATTTCATAACTTATTGTACAGCTGAGTACGGGGAGTGGATTAGGGCTGTGTCTGAGGTGCTGGGCTGTGGCTCAAAATTAATCATGACTCTATGGGAAGTGGCTGCAGCCACAACCATAGCCACAGCCAAGTACCAGTAACTTGCACACTGTTTAGGTTAGAAATCAACTCTTGGACACTGCAAACTAAGTATCATGCAGACAAAAATACCTTGTCTGATAGGGCATATGCAAAATGAAGCATTATAAAGTAGAAGTGCCGTTTACATAGTTTAGTCTTTGTCTTCCATTGTAGAATCCTGATCCTTAGCAGTGGCCTGTCCTTACCCCATGAACCTCATTTTGAAGGCATCCAACACACTGAAGGCTACAGAACTGTCTCCTTAGACCCTGACGAGTTTGAAGGAAAGAGCATCCTGATTCTGGGAAGGGGCAATTCGGCGTTTGAGACGGCCGATCACATTTTGGGGTCGACCAACGTCATTCATATGGTTGCAAGGTCACGCCTGAGAATGGCTTGGGAAACACATTATGTCGGGGATTTGAGGTGGGTTGCTTTGACTTACATGTACAGTATTTGTTGATGTTTTCAAAATACATACAGTGCATGTGTAAAGGTTTGTTGTACTTTTCTGTGAATTTCTGTGGTTTTTGTTATTTTTTTTTAATCAAGCAAAAATGCCAGTTTTTACCTCTTGTGGATTTTACTGGGAAGCAAATATAAATGTGCTAAATGTGAATATGGCAATGAAACTATATTTACATGTACATGCAACTTCGTAAAGTTAAGTTTCATGAAATTGCTTTGGGTTCAAGTGAAGTGGGAATCAGACCATGCATATGCAAATTAAGCAGTTTAATTTTCTGTTTTCACTGTCACGTACATATACATGTACTATTATCTGTTCCTTTTTCAGTCACTTTGTGTTCCCTGGATCTTATGGATTCTTTTTTGGAATTCTTTCATTCTGTGTTTGTTCTAGTTCAGTTTGCTTTGCTTTATTCTTTTCTCTGGGTAGTGAGGGTGGAGTGAGTGGTTCGTAATGGTGTGCAAAGTGAAGTCTGGGTGCATCCATGTGTGTGTGTGTGTGTGTACAAACCCATTAAAGACTCCAAATTTTGTGTGGCTTTGGTACAGCTGTTAACACACCCATGTCTGTGCCTTGATTCTCAAATGAATAGTCAACAAAACTGATTTGGCCCAAACCTGAGGGCTCAGTCAATAAATGACTGTGAGCTTTCTGTTTTGCTCCATGGCCGTATATAGCACAAAGGCGTGCACGTTGCACTGCAGATACTGAAGACTTTGAATGCATCAGAGTTTTGATAAAAAAATGTGTTGTATGTTATTTGCATACATGTATGTTGTTCTTTTGAGTTAGAGTACATGGTCCAGAATACATTTTATCTTAATTCATGTTCTACAAATAAGCACATGAATGCAAAATGTCAGCACACAGGATGGCTTCAAAACTTTGTTACATGCGGAATGACAAGTTAGCAATCCTGTAATTTAATACAGTTTTGTGGTCATTTCGTATTTGTCACAGAGCCGTCAACAATGGCCTTCTAGACACGTACCAGCTGAAGTCCTTAGATGGCATCCTTGAGGGCGACATTCGTGAGATGGCCATCCTGAAACGGACGGACGGCCGTCTGATCCTGGTGGATCAATACGAACTGGAGGCAGTCCTACAGGAGAACGTGACTGACTCGGATATCAACAGTCACATGACTCGCATCATGCCGGATAATTTTGCCCTGAGGGAGCCCTATGACAAGATCATACGTTGCATGGGCTTCAAGTATGACAATAACATTTTTAACGAGTGAGTAAAAGATGCCCACCAACGGGAGCTCTTGATGGTCTCACTGGCAATAATGCCCCCAACAAGATCAGTACCAGCCTTCAGAATTAATTGTAGTGGAGACATTGAAATGTAGCTTAATTTGACTGGAGACCAGATTTCTGTCTTTGGAATGAAGCTTAACAGCTGTCTCATTACTTTTAAAATTGGAATTGGTTTCTTTGCCCTTTGAGACTTCTTCCTGCTTCATATGTTCTGTACACAAATATGGTGCAATTATTTGCTTGCTTCACATCAAAGATCATATAGCGCCGAAGGCGCAAGATGGATACTCTGCCCAGAAGGTGTAATTACTACGGGGCACCATTTGAGCAGGCAATACGCCTGCTCGGTTCACGGTAATGCACAGGCGCGGGCGCACCAGGTGTACATGCCTGCCGTGGCGCCTGCGCCTTTGCATTAAAAATGTGCACTGCGCAGGCATATCGCTTGCTCAAATGGCGCCCATGCGATGACAATGTTTTACGTGTATTCACGGTGAAGTTCTCCATCTTGCGCCACAACGCGGCACTATACGATCTTTGCTTCACATGTAGCAGTCACCACAATTTGGAACATTGGGTACACACTCGAAGTGGATTGTGTATAGGCCAAAAATTACAAGTACAATTACAAGTACTTCCATTTGACAACCTGTGGCACAACCTTCCAAAACCCAAAACTGTACATTTTTCATGTAAACCTTGCTGTTAAGTTGAGCTACATGTACAGTGAATCTCAGCTGAACATGATTAGTTTGTTGAACTGTTCATTTGTTTGGCACAACTTACTCCACGTGAAAAGATTGTATAAGATATGCCACGATTTGTTGCCAAAGTTGTGGACTTGCGCAGTGCATGACTTTCATGAAATGTGTCAGAATTTGTTGCACGACTTGCACAATAAAATGTGGCATAAGTGAAGCTAGGTGTACTCCCATATGTCACTGAATCTTTTTTCGTGACTTCAGCTGCAGCTATATTGTATTTTATTGCATTCAGCCGGGTCCTTGTTGCAGATGAGTTGCAGTTTGTTGCATGTAGCAGTGTGTCTTAAAAAACAAATGGGACATGAGGCTAGTATAGCAATTTTTTATGAGTATGGCAGTGGAAACAGATGACATCACATCTGCTTGGTTTTCGCAGTGATACCAAACCGCACAGGGGAAGGAAGAAGCTGAAAAAATACCCCAAGATGTTTGCCAACTACGAGTCCGTGGACGTGCCGGACCTGTTCTTTGCCGGGGCGTTATCCCACGCTGTGGATTACCGCAAATCGGCCGGAGGATTCATCCACGGATTCCGATACACTGGTAAGTTGACTGCGAGATGGGGGGGGGTGGAGGAGGCGGCCTAAAGACTGAGTGTGTGTATCTGCTAGAAGGTCAGTATGAACTCAGTGGGGTGTTTTGGGGGGAGGGGAATTAGGTTTCTTGTTGGAGTATTCATGGGCTGCTCCTGAAAAGTTCATAGGAAGTCAGGTTATCTACTCGCTTTATCTCATGTGCAGGTATGCATGTATGTGCATTTTGATCCATCATTTAATCTGCTGAGAATGTTCTTGCTTACCTCTCAAGGGTGGTGTAGGGCTTCTCCATGTAACCAAATACATATATGCAGAGGAGCTGAGAGAGTAAAGAGCCTTTTTACATGTACTGGGTAGCTAACATGTATATGTCAGTTTAATTTTTTTTTTCAGTTTCAATTTTTGTATGTGTACATTATATTTATTGATAAAGTAAAGAGTACCTTACTGATAAAGAGCCTTTTACGCAGACAGCTTATACATGCGTACATGATAAAATACGCTATATAAATCTATCTTATTATTATTAGAATATTTTGGTAAATTTACATATAGATAAAGGTGCTCAAAAGCAAGATGCAGATTATATATAGACAGCTATGAACATTTCATTCTCACAAACACCCTTCGGGGAACAATGTGATTAATTCTTCCAACATTCCACTTACTAAAGAAAATTGTTGTTTTACCAGAAGAGTTCCTGGTGTGCCTTACAGTCTGAAGATTGTCAAATCCACTTTATTTTTTTTTTTCACTCTTTTTTTCAGCTCGTGCCTTATTTCGAATTCTCGAAGCCCGCTACCAATCTGTGCCATGGCCCTCCGTCAGATTACCAATCACAGAACTCATCAACCACATCATCAAGAGGATCAATGAAGCTTCAGGAACCTATCAGATGTTTGGCATCCTGGCTGATATCATTATCTTACATAGGTAAGTGTAAAGAAACAAGTGCCCGGAATAAATGGGAGATTCGGATTACGAGCTGGGCTCATTTGTATGATTTGTGACTGGCTCTACATAAAGGTGTATTATGTCACATTTTTTGGAATTTGAGTTATGTGTGTATAATCAAATTGCTCACATCCTAGCTTTTATTTGATATATAATTCATCCCAGTGGCATTTTGCATTTTGGAGTTATTTGCCATTTGCATATTCGTATAATTTCATTTTGTTTTGAGAAACATTAGACTTAAATTAGACACTCTCTTGGTGTTCCTTTGCAACAGAGGCTTTCTGGTCTAGCAGTTGGCCTCAAAATATTCCAAATATTTTCATCCTCGGCACATGGAATGGGCCATAACACATTTTTGCATTGCGTGACTTAATACACCTTTTTGCAGAGCGGGTCCCATTTTTGGTGGCTTTAGAATTCCATGCTTATGGTCTGCTACTTATGGTCTGTATTCTCTGCATACACTTGCAACAAAGAAACTCTTGACGATTTTTGAGCACATGGTGCAGAAGTGGAGGTTATGTGTATACACACAGGCTGAGTCTCCTTGTGTAAAGATTTATCATTTTTGATGAGCAGGGTTGTAAAATTAGAATTAGACCCTGCGCTGAGTTTATGTGACACTGTAAGAACCAGTAAGATGAATCTGTTTTTGTTTTTGTAATTTTTGTGTTTTTTAAACAACACTGCTTACAGCAGCCTGAGGGCTGAATTACATAACAGCTTACATAAAACATTTATGTTGTTCAATAAAAATCATATATATATACATGTATATATACAGACATAGGGAAACAAACAATTAGAATGCTAACCACATATGTGTGGTGGTGTCAGGGTATTAATAATGAAGTCTTTACTTGCTAGGCTAACGTTCGTGAAAATGTTGTTGCTTTTTTGTGACTGAAGTGATGGTATGGAGTATGAGTACATCGAGGAGTTTCCGCTGAAATTACTCCCAGAGCTCTCCTCCGTCACCAGGCTGAATGCCAGCCAAGTTATTGTGGTCTCCATGGAGTACGGCAAGGACTTCTCAGGTAACGTGCTTTGGTTCCAACCTGTTCCCTTTGAATCACCATCGCCATGATCTGTCAGTTAAGCTACTAATAGATCCATTTTGGTAGCGATGCAGAGATGTTCCATGTAGAAGCGAATGATGTGATAGGATGTAGAAAAATGGAGTTACACTCTGTTGAAATTGTAGGAATCCGCCCCGCGCTGAAGTGTACCCCAATCGGCAAAAGAAAGGCAGTGAGTAAAAAAACCAACCTCTTTTTTTCTGCCCGGAGCAGATAAAAGCAATTCTTAGAAGTGATCGTTGAAAATTGGTTTTTTTTTATAGTTTTTATATTATGTGAATTGGACCTGAAGAATTGCGCAGTGTGAAGTTACTGTTATTGCTTCACACACTTGGTACTGTCCTTATAAAAACATGGGCTGTGGTGGAAAAAGATTAAGTTTTCAGTGACTATTCATAATAGAAGAGGGAAACGTTTTGTTATCATTAAGCATTTCTGACAATGTAAAACCCAAGATTCCTCTAAAGTGCTCCAGGCACTGTAGGTCGTAATGAGAAGCAAGTACAGTTTAAGAGATGGCAGGAAAACCCCAGGGAAATATTCTGGGTGAAGCCTGAATGGAATCAGGTAGAGACTGAAAACCCACTTCACATGTGGACCGAGCTGGGAATCCCAGAGAAACCCAGGCTGTAGACGTGACGGCGAGGAAAGAACCGTGTACACCAACCTGACTCCCTTCTCATTCAGTACGTTGAAGCATGTTGCGCCCTTTATGTATGCGTCGACAGTTGGAATACAAAACAAAACTGCAAATTTGAGATCAGTAACAAAGAGCAGGCAGCTGCTTTGCCAATTTCCAACACCGTTGCAGGGGTGTAAAGTTGCAGCAGTTTTGTGTCCAGCTTTGTTAACATTATCCACTCTTCCTGATTCCCTCCTCTTCTCAATTTTGTCGCCAGGGCCCGGCAAGGACATTTTTGGACCACAGCGAGCCACGGCCCTGCCAGAGTTGGGCCACCTCTCCAACTTCCTACACCCAGTGCTATACTACTACAGTGCCTTACCTACAGGTAAATGGACACAGTGCTGCCTCAGCATCCAAGTGAAAAGTGGGGTGTTGTTTTTTTTATTGATAACATATATGCCGCCAAGTAATGCTAGACAGAGGCCCTGTTGGGATATTGCCAAATGGTCAGCATTCTTTTTTGGTGTTGTCCAGACCTTGGTATTATTTCTGTCTTTGGTTTCGGGCATTAGTTTAATGATTGACTTCCCCTGTCAAATGCATACATGTATCTCCATTAAACTGGGCAACTTGAAGCCAAACTTTTTGATTTATTTTCACTTTGTCCAGCAGTTAAGTTTGGAATACAATCATAGCTCCCAGAGTAGAGCCTAACACACAAACAAACCTTGGATCTGTGAAGTCACTCTTGTATTTGATTACAGTCAATCTCCTACATGTATGTTACTGGGCAGGCAGAGATCAATCACCGTCTCTCTTAAGAATAATTCAACAATGAACTTAACCAGGGATCTGCCAAAAGGGAACTGCACAGATCCAGGACACAGCCATTTATAAGTGCAGGACACGACTGCGCGTCACTCAAAACAAACAAAACGGAATGCCAATAGTCCACGCAACCATAATTTGAAGGAAAGAAGATTCTGTCTGCTGTGAGGTAGAACTGCGCATGAATCAATTGTTAAAGTGTGAGTTGAGAAATGCCTGAGTGCTCTTCTGCCTGGTACATGACCATTAACCCACAGGTAAAAACCTGTCTTTGACAGAAAAAAAAAACAAACCAAAAATCATCTTTGTCGCTGACCGTCTATCTTCCCAGCTGAAGCTATGGCCTCCCTGGACCCGAAGGACATCCTTCCAGCTCCCGATCGCCTTCATCACATCGTGGAAGACTTCCTGACCGACTGGACGGCACCTGTCAGGTCTGTGTTCCCTCCATCAATAATTGATTGGGGCCTGTCCCTCTAGGGGACCATTGGGATGGGTTTATGGAACAGGTGAAGCCATGGCGCTATTAGTATGATTAGCATTACCATAATAACTACTCCCTCGGGGACAATGTCTGTTATTGGTTATTTTAGTAGCACCCTGATTAAAGTGGATAATGAAGCTCTTAAAATGCATGCAGTGCTTAACTCGGCTGTCTTGACCTTGTCCGCATACTGTTACCAAACACTGCCTCCTCAATTACTGAGAAGTCTGCATAGAATTTTTTTTAATTAATTCTTTAACCGCATTGTGAATAGCAGCGGTTTTTGCGAATGTTGTTTAATACCCCTTCATACATGCGTTTTTATTTGCAGGTGTACTTTCGTGAAATGTTGTTTTTTAGACTTACCCCGTAATTTCCTGGTTGTCATGTGGAAATTGCCTCTGAAGATATTTGTGATCAGATTTTTGCCGTGGAAAGAAGTGATTGTTGTAATTTGTCAGGATGGGTTAGTCTAAGCAGTTGGATCAGAGCTTATTCGCTCTTTCATGTTTGTGCACAAACATTGGAAATCTCTAGAAACAAACCAGTGATTTAACCAGAGGTCTTCTGTCATGTGTGTTGGTCTTGTGATGGTTTTGTGGGATCTTGTAATGGTCTTAAGAGATGTGGACTACAACACTGTGGAAGTGGCACAGTTAGGGCCATTTTTTTTTAAAAATGAAAGAACAAGTTTTTGAAGCAGTGTAATTTCCTTTTTGAAAACATGTGAAAGCCCCCAAACTTACGCCTCATCAAGGAATCATCAAATTTTGTGTTTCACCCTTAAAAATTTGGCTTCCCTCGCAACAGATGTGGTTGTTGGTCCACCCTTGGTCGTATGCCCTCGTTCCGTTCACTTCCTTACCATTTTGACTTTGATCCTTGTCCATTTCTTCTCCTCAGCCACATCCTGATGCTGCGCCGATTCCTGGAGTCCTGCCTGGGCAGCGACCTGCGCTACTTCTTTGACACGTCCTGCTTCCGTCTGATCATGACCCACACCACGCTGCCCATACAGTGCCAGCAGCACTATCTGCAAGATCAAGGGTTGGAGGGCAGCGACCTGCATTGGGAGTATGTGGCCCAGATGCAATTGACTGAGAATGGTGTTGTCCGCTCCTAAAAGGGGCGGCTTGGTCTGGATACAAAGATGATGACATTATGAAACGAAAGATGTTTTCACATTGAATGAAGGACAGACTCTGAGGATTTTGATTGAGTGGAATTCCAGAACAGACAATGTTATTTTTGTTCATCATAGAAAAAGATGGGACAGATTCCAGCTCAGAAGGCATATCCAGCACTTTCTGAAAGTTGAGCCCAAAGTCCTTATTTTGGAGCATTTAGCTTTCAAATAAAGCAAGCGGACTATTTGATTGATGGCACTTATCCCCCAAGTAAATTTGGCTTTGCTCACCAAGCAACTTCATAATATAGAACCCAGTCTAAAGTCATGGCTGGTGAGTCTTCTTATATTGCGACTTTTGACACTTAGCAAATGTATTTGTAATGATATACGGACTGTCTATAGTTCCTCTTTTACGCTGTGTCCAAATAATTCTGTGGGCAGAATAGTTGGTCTCTCGATCTGTAGTTCATTCGGCAGGGAGTGATTAGGTCAATTTTTATCAATGGCAGGTTGTTTCACAACCATTATGATACTGGGTTGGGCATATAAAACTCAGTTAAACAGGGTCTTTTTGAGTATGATTTCTGATAATCATGTGGTCAAGGGCTAAATGTCTCTCTGTACATTATTGATCATTTTGAGAAGAGCTCCAATTTGTTATACTTTCTTTAAAGTATTTTTGGCAATTGTTTTGTTCAAAGTTTTGGGCAAATCTTGTATTATGTCTTCTAAAATATTGTGTGTTTTTCAAACTTTGAAATTATATATCAGACTCTTCTTGCCATTGTCGGTATGTGAGGTACATGTACAATGTTTCATTGAAATGCCGGAGAGTCAGTACATGTACTTGTAATCATGCAGATTGTGTCACCATAATTTTACTTCAGAACAAAAAACAGGAGAAAAAAATAGAAGACAAAGATAAAAACAAAACAAGGCTGACTCCCAGCTTGAGCATGTATATGTTTACTGGATAAACTATCACAATGCAGGCTGTATCATTTATTTTCTTTCAATCTCAAAACAGTGACATTCAAAACACTCCGAAAATGGAAGTGAAGTTTGTCCCGGAAATGTGTGACAGTACAGTTTTATTTTAAAAATTAGAAGTTTGGTTACCAGCAGTAACAGGGTCAGAAAGTGGGTCCTTTTCTGAGCTCAAACTCTATTGTAATATAGTAAATCAAGCTTACTTGTCGAGGCATTGGTTGAAGTGTGGCCTGAATGAATTGTAATATGAAAGTGCGTGGACTTCCAGTTGCAGCCTGAAATAGACTTAGGAATAACTTAAAGAAAAGTGCCCAACTGGGTCACACCTCTAATTTTCTCTGCAAATACTTGTATTTTTTTTTCATAATTTTTCCCTGCAAAATAGCAGTAGTCAGATTCCTTCCTACATTTACAAGTCCAATTATTGATGAGCCCACACTTTTCCCAGGGCTCAGTTGATGTCCAAAACATACTTCCAAAACTTGTATCTCTTGTTTGTTTGCTCCCTTGGTATTTGGCTGTGTGACCTAGTGGCTAGAGTTTGTATCTTCCGATCACGGGGTCGGAGGTTCATGTCCTGCATGTTGTGATGTTGGGCAAGTCACTTCATCCCTGTGTGCCTCTTTACACCTTGGAGGTAGTGGTGGTTATTATCTTTAGCTTTTTGCGTGTGACGTTACAGCACCGTGCTAATATCCCCAGGGAGCCGAGATGGTCTCAGATGTTGTGAGCCCAGTGTGCAGGTCTAATACATGTATAATAGATCAACCTCTTTGAATGACCGATACTGTGAGATACTGTGCGCCTTATGGGTGCTTTGATTTTATTACTGTTTGCATAGAAGGGTATTCCTCCATGCTATTTGCAACTCGTGACGACTAATTAGCCGAAGCTCAAGACCACTTAATTGGCCAAGGCCATAACTCCCAATGTGCCACCTTCTCGCTCAGTACGCTTGGTGGAGTTCAGAAGAAAGAACTCAAATTCTACAAACCGTGCCCATTTTCATTTTCCCACTTGAATATTATGCAACTTGTATATTTTCTTATGCAAGTTTATGGTCTGAGCTGTAATTCTGTTAGGGCCCACTTTTGAAAATGGGTAGTATTCCATAAGCATACTGTTGGAGGTATAGTTCCTTATGCTAATAAAATGTTTTCATAGCGTAATCACGTATTGACCAAAAATCTTTTGCGTACATGCCATAGCAGGCCCAATTTTCAAGATGAAAAGTTCATCTGCACTTACCACTCAAAGCTCGTAATCTCAGGCAAATTTCTTATTGCAGAGAGACTTTGTCTTGAGAAAATATATTACTTTTGAACCCATGTTTGCTGCAAAACGCCTTTTCACACTACTGCCTGTCAACCCAGGTTGAACTCAACCCTGGGTGAACCCAGTTAATGCTGGAATTAGGAAACTACAGGTACTAATACTGGATAAATTCTTGGTTGATTCAGCAACAAAGGAAAACAATTGAAACCAAGGTAAATTACGTTTGTTTTTTCACATAATTTTATTGCGATCTGGGAAGTAACTCTTAAACCCAACATCTGAAAATATATTAAGATGCATATACATGTACATCACACTTTGACACAAATTTCAGTCTTGGGAATGACTTAGCAATAATGTCACCTCAACAAGAGAACTTACAAATTAATAAACAACTTCTACTGAGTAAACTGTCCACTTGGGTGAAAGACATGGTTACTCTTAACATTAATAATTCTAAGTTATCCTTTCCTTGAGAGGGCACCACAGCTGTTTTACTGCATTGATCAGCTCTCCGAGAAGCATCTTCTCATTGGTTGAAAAGAGTGCCGTTAGTCGGGAGTGTTCAGTTGTTGGTAGCTATGCGACTGTGACCTGTGCATTTCCTAATTGTTTGTTGACCAGAGAAGGTCAGTTTTGACCGAAAGAGCCTCCATTGCTAAGAAAATAATGCCCTCTCTTGGTCCAGCTCGAGGCCCATACATCATTCACATAAACTTTAAAAAGCCTGAATACACTGGGACAATTAAGAAACCAGCAAACATCTGCCATGAAACTGAGTCACTATACAAGCTGTATGCTTTGAACAGCATATATTGGAACACTACCTCTGCAGTGGACCAAAGTTTTCAAGAATTAGTCACCTCAAGGTAAATCCCTGAGCCCTTTTGGGTGTACACGTATGAGTAAATCACAAATCTAATAACAATATTTTTTAATGATTAATGACAAGATTAAAGAGCCAGTTCGCCAACTCGGTACAAGAGAGGCCATGTTTTATGGTCTTGTTTGGCATCAAGGGCCAAACATTGATGTACATGTATTTAAAATTCTCTGATGAAACAAAATACTGTCCTCAGACTAACAAATCTTTTTAGTATTTGAGGTATTCCACTATTATGTTACATTATGGATACAACTGGAATTTACTCCTGATTAAGATAAGAGGTGATGACCCTTGATGGACTGAGCTGGCAATTAAAGTAGTGATCTGTTCAAACTGTTCTCTGATTACAAATGAAATACATCATTGTGAATTGCATAACTGGTAAGTGGTTATACAGCAATGGACACCAGTCATGATCGAACCTTTCCCACAATTAAGTTGACGTCCGGCTGAAATCCACAACAAAGTCTGGTATGTTATGAGGAAATAAGTAAACATCTACAAGCACACCTCTCATTGCAAACCTCTTGGCACAATTAGCTACAATGTCGGTTCATTCCCCGTATCACTTATTTTTTTACAAACCTGACCGAGTGCAAATTGCTGCCATATGCAAGCATGATCAATCTATAACAACTTTGCACTGTTCTCAAGAGTTTAAAACAATACTTGAATACAGGCTACCCCACTGCATCGTATCACTCACAATGGAAAATGTAAGTAGTGTCTGCAAGTAAATAAAAATGGTCAACATTTGCTTGACTGCCCTTTTGAAAGGAATATCAGGATGGTATTCAGAATACGAGGAGTTATGATCCGACTTGTCAGAATGCATTTTCTCTTTCACACCTTTTTAAAACTGGACAGTTTTCTTGCAAATACTTTTAAAAAGAACATTCAATGTAGTTTTTCTATATCTTTAAAATTTTTATTTACACCTGCTTGGTTCCCGCACGTATTTCAAAACGTAGCAGCGACCGATTTTAGAGACGGGCGTTATGCCGGTCTACTTTCAGTACATGCTTCATGGTGTGCGGGAGTGGAAGTATATCGATGTTGTTGTCGTTGTGGCCAATGTGTCGGAGGATGGTGGAGTAGCATTTGTCCTGTAGGCGGAGCTTCCTAGAGCTGCGTACCCCGAGCTCCAGCTCTGTCTCAGCTGCTGTGGAGCAGGCCAGTGGGTACAGGTCCTCCCCGACATGGTGTAGATCTGTCAGAAGAACACAGAAAATCAATTCAGATGAGAGAACATTTATGTATATGTGCGTATATGTACATGCCATTGAACCCACTAGCACTGCCTGTAGCATGTGGGGCATGCATGTACGGAAAACGGTGTGCATTATAGCGAAAAATATTTTACAGGTTATTTTGACAGCCATTTAGGTTAAAAGAAGAACATTTCAAATTCACATAGAGAGTTGAAACAGGAGCTTAATCGAGTATGGTTTGAAGTATTCATTCGGAGAGGAGAGTTCCCCGATTCTTTGCTGCTCTGCCCAAACTCCTGGACAATATGTAAGTACACGTGGAATGCTTACCAGCATCGCCACTAAATCTGCATGATAAGCAACGTACAAATTAAATACAGTGCCATCAAAATTGACCCTTTTGTCCACCCCAATCCAGAAACACAAAATCACATCATGTAGACTTTGGTTACCCAACTGTGCTACTTTCTTGTTGCTTGGGTGAACTTTCTTGCCAAATTAGTTGGCTGTTTATTGTTGAGCTTTAATATCAGGGCCACCTGATCGCTCAAAGTCAATATTTTGGCCAGCCTGCTGTCCAAACGTGGATTTATCACTTCGTTTGGACTGCACACTACTGAAGAAGGTATGTGCACTGATGTGTCCACGTTTCTGACGGTTGTCCTGGCTTTCCCGGTTTGTCATACCGATGGGAATGAACACAGACCACTCAGGAGATACATCCTTCTACTGATGTTACAATTCCTAACTGGGTTGAAAACATTCACTTCAGAGTCCTTGAATTTGCTCTTAGACTGCATCCGAATCTCTTGTCTAGAGCTAGGTCTTTGCTCCATTGGAAATGCGTGGAAAGGCATGGACAATACACCCAGCCGTAAGCTCTGAAAGCCTGTTTCGGACATGGCCTTAAAATGACTTAAAAGGTAGACAGGCACCAAGCAACAAGAGGTGACTGGCTACTTGGTAAGAGATCAACACAGGGCTGGTTGACTTGGCTGGAGATGTACTAATGCTAATGCAGGTATGTTGGGTTCATGGCCTGGGTCAGACATTTTTCACACTGACCAAAATGAAACCGGAGGACACAGGTTTGACATGTGCAAATTCAATATAAATCGTGTACTAAATTACCAGTTCTATGTGTAATGCACTGAACAACGTATTTTCTTCTTTTTATGAAAATAATTCTGAGCCTACTTGAGGCAAGTCTGCACATGCAGTGCCTGGGTCTTTGCCGCTCACCTTTGAAAGCCACGCCCAGGTTGACTCCGTCCTTGAAGAAGGTCAGTGTGCCGACGTACAGGTTAAGCAGTATTCCTATTCTTGTGTTGTTCTCGTAGAAAGGCTGGCAATACTGTTGGCTGGTGCCGTTGTGCCACAGGGTGCCTTTGTAAGACAGTCCCCAGCTCTGGTCATCCATGCCTGGAGGGTCAGAAACAGAGCTTGCTCTACTGCTGACACATGTATCATCCATCATTGAAATAGTGACCATATTCTGCCCCCCATGAAGTGCCCCCACCCCTTCATCAGTGCTATGGTTGAGACGTCATCACAACACCTTTCACAAGACCAGACATACATGTATGTGTAAGACCCCACCCCCCACAAGACCAGTCACAAGTAAGTAACAGGGTGAAAACGACAAAGGCATGCTTTTATGGCAGTTCATTTGAAGAGTTTGTGATTTGAATTCAGACTGGAGGGCTAGCATTAGTCTTGTGATGGTACTGTGATTGCTGTAAGAGGTCTTGGCTACAACACTGCCTTACAGCTATTCCCAAAATAATGATTCAACTTTATGCACGCTGCTGCATTCTGGGCATTTTCATGAAGGTACCAGCAGAACAAAATAAGCAATGTCGAAACAAAACAAATCAAATCAAATCAAACCAAAAACCTGTGGGGAGAGTTGATGTGAAACAGGGAGAAAAAACACCTGAAATCCAAACATTAGCGTGATGCTTTACCTAGCATGTTAATATACTGGTAGTTGGTGGTATGCAGTAGTGCTTTGCGAGTCCCCACACCGACCATGACTGCTGTGCCAAACGCCGGCTCTGTGAAGATTATCTCCCAGTAAAACTCTCCTTCATGGAACCCTTGAGTTCCCCGCACCCCCGCCGTGCCCATACTATCCTCCTCGGCATCTAGAATCAAACAGGAGAAAAGAAAGGGAGGGGGGGAAATTGTGGCCGTTATAGTTTGTGTGAGGATGGAGTGATTTTTGAGGTACAGCAAGTGACAAGGGTGGATTAGGATCATTTTGGTGGGGCATGGGTTAAATATGACAGATGAAGGATTGTCTTAACTTCAACATTTGTGCTCTATGTGGTCCAGAGAGGAAGTTTTTCTTTGCGCCAACACATGCTCGTTTGCAGACACACTGAGTACATATCAATAATGTATGGTGCCAATGGCATTTAAATATCATCCCAGCTTCTGCTGTGAAAGGAGAAATTCTTTCTTTTGGCTGTTTTCTAAGGCAGAACTAATCCACCCTTGTAAGAAAAACAGGTTGACATGTCAGTAAACACACTCAGATTTTGCCTTTGTTTGTCTCTACATACCACACACCATACTGTGCCACAACAGAATGGTGTTTCATGACTACATTCAGGGAAACAGCTCATGTCAAGACAGAGCCCATCACCACGAGGAGAGGTTAAGCAGCACCGGTCACACATAATGCTGGTTATAACGAGGACAGAATCTTCGTGCGGATGTACATGTACATGTAGGCCAGGCTTCTTCGGTGAAACGGTGGCTTTCGATGGAGTAAATACAGTGCCTCTGCATGCACTGCACTTCAGTGAAGGAGATGACATCTCATCAGATTTTTGGCTTGTGTGACTGTGGTCCTTTTGAAAGGAGTCTGGAGATCAGCTGAGCGTTAGCACCAGCAAGCTTCAGTAGACTCATACTCTTGAGATTCTTGCCAAACTGAGACGGGTGCAAGAAACCTGCATGAGGTGACACGCCCGCCAATGCTGACCTTTGGCTATTCCGATGAAGAATGAGGGTCTACTTGATCCCTGAGTGAGGAATGTGTCAGTGGATCTGGCTGAAGTCAAGCCACCAGCAATACGTCTTTGCGACATGGTATATGTCTCTCTCCGTCAGTGCAACCATCTGTGTGACCATCAGTGCAGCTGCAACTTTCTTTGTGGCAAAAGGAAAGCGATCAGATCACATCATTTCCACTTGAACTGTTAAGATGCTATCGGAGACTCCTGGTAAACATGCAGTAGAGTCACAAGAAACAGATCGATTGATATATGTAACTTGATTTCTGGGATGACCAACTGTTCTCATGTGTACAACTTAAACAGGTCATATAATGACCTATTTAATGGTTAAGCAATCAGTAGGCCTGTAGAAAAAGTTGAGTGTTGAGAGTTGTAAAACGTTACGGGTTAAAAACATGACGAAACTAAAAGGTTTCAACAGCTAAGTGGTTTGATGTTTACAGGTATACCTTAAACTGGATGCATTTATTGCAAGTAATTTTTCCATTTTTTTACTTATTCATATTGTGCAAAATGATGCACAATATCAGCAGAAAAATGAGGCTTAATTTCTTTGAACTATGTGATATGAAAGCTATGTTTACTTCCTAGTTTGTAAGAAGCAAATGACATTTTTCTCAAACTTCATTTTCAAGTCCAACTGCTTTGATTACAGTGCACTTTAATTGTTTGCTTTCTGGTAATTATATGCTTCTGGTTTAAAACAACCACAGTACACATCAGTTAAGCATTACCTATATGGAAATATGCAGCCAGCTGATTGGTGGACAAATGTACATCAGAGGATTTGTTCTGTCTGTCCCAGCACCAATTGTCTGCCCGGTACTCCCTGAATGCTGACATTTGCTCTACCTCCACGGAAGACATCCCTGTACTCTGAGCAGACAAAATCACCACACTGTCAATTTTACCTGTGTTCAGAGGGCGGGTGGGTGAACACTGCTGAAGGTACACATACTTCAAGGCCTTTGTCATGTGCAATGTTATAAACTCTTGAAATACCAACCAGAAATTCATTGTTTTTCTTTAATAGGCCAGCCAAAATATAACTCAAATTAAAGCTTCAACGGAAAGAGTTCCAGATTCGGACAACACTTATTTTCCCTTAAAATGTTATAATAGCCATAAGAAAGTGATAACATATCTTACAAAGTGAAATTTAGCAGGGGAAAATTCCCAAACATTTACTCAGAAAACACATGTAGGTTTTTATCAGGCAAGTCTCCTAGCTTTGTGCAAAGAGGCATTGAGTGTTGTCCGTATATGGAACTCTTTCCACTTTAACAAAAGACAGGAAGTGACGAAAAGAAGTACTGTGTAATTTAAAAACTCACTTTCCATTAAAATGTTACTCTTTTTGTCTACTGTGGTCTGACAAGCACAAAACACTATATGCAATTTTTCATATATCAGGTGTACTGTATAATTCAAGTTGTAGAAAACAATTCAGGAAGAAAAAAATGGCCTTTATTTTGGGGAGCTTTTACTGGAGTCAAAAGAATCAGTGCATGCTTTTAATCATCTCAATAAAATCACAGCAAGGAGGGATGCCTGTCTTGAACTGTGAATGATAATACATGTATGTGACCCGCTCGACGAAAAAGGGTATTAATTAAGGGACACTGTACTATTTCACACTTGGAGCTTTTTTATGTGGACAGGGTGATTTTTTAACTTCTTGGTTTATTGGCTTAGTAAACTATTCTATCAGTACTTTCACAATTCATACAGGAAACCTACATTGAACTGTTGCTGTGGGTCTCAATCAAATTTCTTCCTGGTTGATTTCTTTTTCCATTCCGGTGTTTAAAGGGCTTTATCTCTGAAAGTAACTCTACTATTTAGTGGAGCGTTGCTTTTCCTCTTTTTCAGATTTTGGACTTTTGTATGACCAATCCAGTCCTCTTAGTAGAGCTACTTTGAAAGCAATTCTGTTAATGTGTATATGATTATGCAAAAATCAATATATCTCTAGATTGCAAAAACATGAAAGAGTTCACCTACCAGTGCCACCTAATTAAAGCGTATAATGTAACCAATCCAAATGTGTATGTAACTCATTTTGAAAAAAGTCCCATATAATACCCATTTTTATGGAGCCAGTCACATGATGTTTACTTTAAGGCAGGGAACTGAAAAAGACTATAAAAATTACAAGCTATTACGATGAAAGGTAACATCAAACGTTTTGAAATGAGCATTTTCAGTTGTAACAATAAAATCCCGAGAGTCGTGACAGTGGATTTATAAAACTAAAGTTGCTTACAGTTCAGTTTTTATCTGCATTTCCTTCAATTTTCATGTTCTTGTAAGTTGTAATGGACATGTAACCATGGAGGAAGGGACGTGATGTAACTCACACTTAAGTCTGTTGTGTAGACTTCTCCCTCGGCGTCAGCTTCCTCTACGGTGCCAGCTACATATATACTAAACTTCACACCTTCCAAAGTGACTGAAGCTTGAAGTCTGCCGACCACCAACCGATAATTATTCTATTTCTAACGTTAAGCCTACATGTAGCTGCCACGGACACACAAAATGTTGGTAAAATGGCGAACAGAACAGTTCTTGGCCTACATCACACATGTAATTAACGTAAGGCGAAGTTCTTGTCACAACTAGTTCCAGTCCGGTTTGAAGCAGTTTCAAGCGTTCTCTCCTCGTCCTAAGCTGCCAAAAAGAAACCTGTTTTTTTTCATTGTGTAGTCGAGTGAACCACCGATAAACAACATTCTATGGCCGAGAAAAATAAATATGCAGTGTACATTGTACGTCACGAGCTTATCAATAGTAGCAGGTGAAGGTACGGATACTACGATGCGTGGGAGGCTCGGTCACCCAACAATACAACGGCCTTTCCGCGTGAAGCTCTCACACGTTGCACGCCAAGGGCACACGCATGCACTGGTTTGGTTTAGGATGCCTGCGTTTGTCGGCCCGTAGCTCCATATCTCCGAGCTCCGGCTCCGTACCGTGGTCAACCGTTACTTGCTGTAATTATTGACAGCGTTCCCATGTGCAATGCTTCTCCCTCAGCTAAATAAAGAGATAGTACAATTTCCTAAAATTGTTTACTCATTCAGAAAATTTTGGAAATATCACCTACTACCAGATATTATGCTCATTTTAATGATGTGTTTTTAAAGTAATTTATTTCCTTTTTGACAAGAATTATTCATTTCTTAACTGAAATATGAGTATTGTAGTTAAGGGTGTAAGTTGGACTAAGCTACTCTCTCATAACAAAATCATGTGATGAAACCACCATGGTCTCGTTTCAAGACGCTACTAGTAGTTACGTTGTTCGCGTAAGCTTGGATGGTAGTACGCCCTCACATGACGTACGTGTATAAAAAAAACTGTCAACAGCCTATAGTTTGAAAAATGGCGCTCACCATTAATGAGAAGTGGATCCGGGAAAGAGTGCACCTAGACCCTGAAAATCTGGGTGAGTGGTTGAGAAGATAAGATTAAGAGAGCATTCACTTTATCACAGGTGGCCTTATCGACAGCAAACTGAGCTTGTTGCAAATTATCTATGAATGTTGCATGTTTTATTTCTTACATTCCAACCTCCTATTCCTAAAATTTGTTCAACCGGATATCACCATCAGACCGTGATCACCAACAAAGATCGCATAGCGCCGCAAAGCGGACTGGAATGCACTGTCGTCTAACATCGAAAGCATCTCCGGTCTTCCCGTATTAAAAACTTGTAAAGTCACATCTATCACCAAAAGCCAATTAATAATAGAGAAATGCAGTGTTTATAATATAGGACTGATTTTAAATGGGGAGGGTTAAGTGACTTCAGTATAATGGTTTTCTTGTGTTTGATTGTTCCGATTTTTAAATAATATGAAGTCTTGAAAATGATTGTAATTAGTAATGGGTAAATGGACTGATAATTTACTGTTTCTTCATGTTTTGTCAGTTCTGTATATAATTTTGTAAATTTGCCCATATACATACTTAAGGACCCCAATGGAAATAAGCCTGTGTAATTGGCTTTCTTGGGTTATCCCAGAATGAATCAACCGTATCTTGTTTCTCTGTGAATGATTGTTGCTTAGTTGATTGATTTCTGAATTACGCGATATTACAGTGAACTTCGTATATGGAATTCTTCCCGTACTTACTAGGCCCCTACTACTACGGTAGTATGGGGCAGCGCAGACATCCGGGAGTTTCACAGAAATATGGGTAGCAACCACACCGCGCCGGTGAAAACAACCGCAACGAGTGCGCACGTACGTACTGATAAAAGAAAAGATTGTATAACCCGATCCTTGGACTGGTTGGTGGGCTAGTGCGTGCGTATGTCACCAAGGTCGCTGTTTTCACCGGCGCAGTACCTGTCATTTTGCAAGAATCCTGGATGTCCGCGCTGCCCCATAGCCTAGGTTGGACGTTAGGAATCCACCTGGGTTAACTGCTAGTAGTACTAGTAAGTATTGCCCGGCCATGTCTAAATGTTAAAAAGGGTGATTTGTTGAGTCCAAGTTACTCGGGCTACCATGTGTCGTGTTAAAACACTGCATGCTATGAGTATGAGTCATAGCATGCTTGACCCAATAGGGCCTAATCTCCCTCTAAACTCAAAACCCTGCCCAATTTTCAGATCAACTCCAGTAACATGTTATGTATTAAGCATGATGTCATAGTCATCTACATGTACCAAGGGAATCTAAGTTAAAATGTACATGTATGTGTAGGTCTCCCTTCAAGTATACATGTACAATGTAGGAATGGGGTCACCAAATATATACAATCCTCCAGAACTCTGCCAGTTTGTTGTTCCCTGCGCTCCTGCAAGTGCTGGGGATGATGAACCCCACACTAAGTTTGGAGAGTGAGAATTTCGGTCCTAAAGACTATTCCGTCCTCCATCTCTATATTAAGTGCAGCCCAGTGAGGCAGAACGGGAACAGTTCTGGGGGGTCTTCATACTGTGGTCATCAGGGATGGATGAAGGAAAACATCTTCCTCCGTGTCATGCCATTTACAGACCTACACGATTAAGCCTTGTAGATGTACACATACGTGTTTGTTTATAGGGGTAGAATAGGGAAATAAGTACTAGGCGTAATCTCTTGAGCAGCAGTATCACGAAGGACTAGGACCAAAGATCTCCCTGAAATGAAGCACTGCACACGACCATTTGAGGGTTTATTAGTTCCTATAATATGAGTCAGAATTTGTGAATTCTGTTCCCATTTCAGTATTTCATTATTCTTGTCTACTTCCAATTTCCATCAGCTGTTTCTCCGTACATGTACAGCCAAAACTACATGTACAGTAATGGCCTCTTCTGGAAAGGAGCTAAGCATGTGTACATGTATGGTGTACTATAGTATTAATGTTGAAGACATGCTCAAATTTAACCCAAACACAAGGGAATAACCGTTTATATCTGCTAGTAATTCAAAGCTGTAAGGGTACTTTGGTCTCGTTACCTTTGGTTTCCAGACGATGTGCGATCTCTGGCACTACCAGGTACCTTCCAAGAGAAGATCACCCACCTTGGCAGTGCTCTGCAGAACTTCATTCGTCTCAAGCACCTGGACCTGTCCAGGAATGCCCTGCAGAGTCTGGATGGATTGCAGCACCTGAAGCTGCTGGAAAAGCTCAACGTGTATCCTAACCATGATAGATCTCAGCCAGTACCATGATAGATCTCAGCCAGTACCATGATAGATCTCAGCCAGTACCATGATAGATCTCAGCCAGTACCATGATAGATCTCAGCCAGTACCATGATAGATCTCAGCCAGTACCATGATAGATCTCAGCCAGTACCATGATAGATCTCAGCCAGTGTGTCCCTGTTAGGCTCGCAAATCAACTCACACTCACAGTGGCATAACAATTTTACTAGAATCTGTGAGCAGTTTGAATCATTGACATCGTTTGCTGCATCCAAAAATAGCAAAAACAAAATATATTTTGTTTGGGGAGGGGGTAAAAGGAGTAAATTAAATTGGAATTTGAAACTGGGGCAAAGTCTTTACTTTCTAGAATTTATTGAATGATTTCCTGATATAAACATATAGGTACAGTGTGTGTAAACCACCTACATGTATACATGTAGGCCCACAGTGTAAAAAAGTGTAGTTACTGTTAACATTAACAAGACAGTGACTGATCCAACTGGTCATATTTTGAAGCTGTAAAGTCAGTGTCCAGGTGACTTTGATTTCCAAGTCTGACATAAACTGTGACTGTCATAGTTCAATTCTCATAATCTCCTTAACCTTTGACCAGTTACTATAACAATATTTCCACCTTGAAGGACCTGTACCAGCTGCGCCACAACACCTGCTTGCAGGAGGTGGATCTTCGCTTGAATCCCGTCACCAAGAATGAGCCTGACTACCGGCTGTTCATGGTGCACATGCTGCCCAACCTACGCAAGCTGGGTAAGGGAGTGACGGCAGGGGTCCAAATTTGTGGAGAAAAAAATAATAATGGACTAGAGGGCCATCTCCTCATTGGATTTACCGGATCAGATCACATTTTACAGGACTGACAGCACAGTACAGGCTTTGTGAAAGTATACTTCACTGTCCCAAAAGTTATAAAATACACCAGCTGGTAACTAGGGCCGTTTTCCAATACTCAACTTTGTCTCCATCTCAGGTTTTGTCCCTGAAACCAATCCCCGATTGTGGGCCTGAAGTGTTTAAATCAAATTGAATTACTGTACGTTTTTGCTCTCTTGCATCTTAATAGTTGATGTTTTTTAGCACTATTAAACTAATTAGTGCGCTTACAGCTTCAAAGTCAGGTAGTAAAAAAGACAGTTGAAGCCTGAGACAGAGCCGAAGTTGAGTATTGGAAAACGGCCTTTGACTTCTCGGGGGGGGGGGAGGTTGCAAATCCTCAACAAAGCAGACCAAGCATAAATCTGTTGCTTTTTTATTTTGAAAAACAGCAGGGTTCATGTGGTTGTACCAATTGATTTAAGGGGGGGTTACAAGTAAACTCCCAAAGAGGGGATTGGCGGAGGTGAAAAATAACTGAAGTGTGCGCCGTTCTTTTTGTGCAAAATGTTCTACTATATCTCAAAATCTTTTCATGCCTCAAAAGCGCAGCACACAGGAAATTTGAATCCACTGACAATCGTTACAAGTGACTCCGATCCACCTCTTTACAGAAGTGAGATCTGGAGGACTAATTTCTTCCCCCCATCCAGCATACATGTACCTAGGTACTAGGAGTGGGAATATTTCTTTTTTCTATGATAAAAATATACTGAACCACAAAGGGAAGGTGGGTCATCAGTTTCTGGGGTAAGTTTTACAATGCCTTTTTCAAGGAATTCGTCCTGAAATCTGTTGGGAGAAATACCCAGGTAAACATTTTTTCTTAAATGCAGCATAATTGTCTCTGTTTCATACACGTGTCATACCTGCCAAATCAGAAAACACTGTCCACAGTCATTCATTATTGAAAATTCTGTGGCTTTCTGTCCTGAACTTCCCAGTTCATTTACATACCCAATTGCACAGGAAAGGTTAATCTCAATCTGGAATTTCAAGAAGAGAGAAGTTAAATGGACTTTATTGAAATATAATCATGCACCTTTTGTTTGTACCGTATGTAAACAGATGATCGTTCGGTGCGTGAAAGTGAGAGAAAGGCAGCTCTAATGCACTTTAATTCTGACCAGGTGAGTTGAGGTGATTCAGACAGGGTCTGGTTTGTGAGCTTGGATAAGTGATAGCAGTCGGAATGGCATCTTAATCCAAATTTCTCCTGAATCCAGCAAGCTGCAACAGGTGTAGGCATCTGTGAGACCTTCTTGTAGAGGGCAGTCCACAAAAGCAGCAGCGCCCGTACTCGATTCCAAAGCTCTGGGAGCTAGTGCCATCGATACCTAGGGACTGTTGGATCTTGTCTTGACTGACAGGCCTGAGCTCTGAGATTGTTGATCTGAGGTTAGGTGCCCTGTTTGCTCTTGCTAGACTGATGAGCAGTTTCCTCACTTTGACAACCTGATTGTGACAAATATTTGGTGCTGATTTTCTAAAGAGGGGTCTCCAGCTAAAATGTTGTTATTCAGAAGAATATTGTGACAGACAAATTTTCATTTTCCACTGTATTCTCATAGGCTACAGACCTGACTGAGCATCTGCCGTTGAAGAGACAAATGGAGACAGACAGGGTTATAAACCCCAGGGTTGAGATGGTGGCAAACATGCCGAGGAAAACAACAGGTGTGCTTTTCTAGCCTATATGAATTCATTTTGTGCACGGGTCCCATTTTGACTGGCTTGATCTAACAAACGTTATGGCAATTTGACCATATCTGACTATAGATCTAGATGTGATAGATGGCAAAAAGTGAACCCAGATGCATTTTTTTCAATCTTGTAAAAAAATACACAGTTGTTACGTTAATAAACATCCCTCAATTAGCAGACTGCATGTACATGTATGTGCGTGACATTGTCAGTTGTTCCTACTGAAGTCTTAAAAAGAACTTAAGTATCACTCCAACATCTTGGACTCATTTTTTGGCAAGTTCACACGTGTAGCAGTTACGTCGAGACCATCAAAGACCATTCACAAGGCCAGTTTCAAGTGACAGGCTGATCAGTGATAAAGGAATTTGAAATAGCTTGTGACTTGAATTTAGACTAGAGGTCTTGTGTTGGTCTTGTGGAGATGGTCTTACTAGGTCTTAACTGACGATACATGTAGCACACCGCAGTGGAGAGGGGTGCTTCGCACTTCCATCCCCAATGTTGTGTGTGACACCAAACTCACATGTATTCCAAAAATGTGAAACTTTTCATATGAAATTCAAGACACTATAACTTGAAAAACATTGCAGTTGTCAAACTTTTGATTCATTTTCCCAGAGCAGGTTTCAAGTGTAAAATAAAGTCTTTTATCTCTCACTTTTTTTCCCGTTTAAACTTGCCTTTGCCACTCAGTTCTGGACGATGATGACCGTGACGTTCTGGATTTGATTGCCAGGTCCAGTGGGGACCTGGGCCGGCCTCGGGACATCACTGGCTCCAAGGCCAGGGTTGCAGAGGTTTCTACACAACCTCATGCAGGTATTGGCTTTGTCCATGAAACCCAGTGATCTCTACAATACATGTACTGATTGGACAGCTTATGCTCATATTGCTGTGCATAAACAAACAAGGCCGCAGGGCTCCATTTTTGGGGCAAGATTAAAGAGCAGACGGGAAGCGACCATGACACGAGCGTTTAAATAAACAATGGTGGTCACAGCAAAACAGTGATTAGACCATGTTACTCATGTGCCATGAGCGTAGCTCGGCACACAAACAGTTGTCTGATAACCCGCAGGTCTTGGTTATAGAGTGTAGAGAGCAGCACAGATGAACGCACACAGTATTTCACTGTCCCCCCGCTCAGCCTATCTCCTACAACTATCAATGCGTAGTACCAGCGTGGCTATCCCTTATCATACCTAAGGTTACACAATTACAACGCAGTAGACCGGACACATCAACTCTGGGAAAGATCAATATTATCCATCATTTTTTGTAGCACAGCAACGTCGTCAATGCACTCGATCATGAAAGACACATGCATCCCAGTGGCATATCACATGATCAATTTGCAACCAATAAAATCTCACTATCTATGACCATGGTAAAACAATAGCCATTGGCTCACAATAGTGCTCAATGTTATTTAGGGTTGAACAACTTTTGTTTCATGAATGCCAAAGATGCATCTTAGGGGGTCAAATTTCGATGTGAGCAGGTCAGAGTTTACAGAATCTTTCATTGTCATTGGTTGCCCAGAGCACCTTAGAGGAGACTCAGCTGACGAAAGGCCACCTAGTCCTGAGGAACCCCCCAGCACCAAGTTCCCTCCGTCCCCCTCGCCCCTGTCGACTGCACCAGTGCTCCAGGTTGACAGGCCTCAGAGAGCTGATCCATTTAATGAGGACGAGACTGTGGTTAGACATCGTAACTTCGAAGAGAGGATGCTGGGATTGGAGGTTTCTGGCGGTGCCGAAGCCACAGGTGATAATATACTTTAACTCTATACAAATTTCATTTACCAAACACAAATTGCTCCTGTTATGCACTTGTGCTGGGAAATGACACATTCCATGGAAAATGTATTGTGGTCAAAGCCAGAAACATTTTGAAATGTGAGGTATTTGTTACACTTACGAAGAAATCATGTTGGACACATTTTAAACAAAATGGACTTTTTTCTTTTATAATGTCAAAATATGTGAAAATATTGAGAGTTCATGTTTCATTTGGGAACTTTTATCTCTGATCGTTCAAAAATAATAGTGTGTTGTGAATATTACTTGGCTTTTTGGGGGGTGTTGCACTCGACAATTTTTAAAGCACTCTATACTCGGTGCTGTCCAAACTGTTGTGAGAGAATATTCACTAGCTGCTGTGTATGGGACATGAACCTACAACTTTCCTGCTTGCTGCTCAAGACAATAATAATCCCAGGCCGGGTGCTTGTTTTGATGGATCTAATCTGGAGAATGATCCAGAAATCCATAGGTTATCATTGATTGGTGGTTGGTTTGTACAATATTTTGTCAAGTGCTCATATTCTCATTCAACCACTGCACGCTGCACCTTTCGCTGAGCATCAAATTTTGTCTGTGATGTCAGAGACTACGTCACTGAAATCAAGGTTCTTTCTCTCTCTCTCTCCTTGCATCCAATAATGTCCTTGTCTTCAATATCAATGATGCTCGTATTCAAACAGATAACACAGCCTTTTCATATGCTCTCTGCTCACCTGAACCTCCTCCTAAAGACGTCCCTCCTCAAGCTCTGACCCATTCCTCTAACCCTAACCCTAGAGGGCTATGTCCTCCAGTGCTGACCCCTAACTGCAGCCCCAACATTGGAATGAGACCTGTTCTTAATCTGTATCATAACATCTCTTCTTTGAAAAACACTGTCATTCAATCATACCTTGATGACCATTGTGCTAATGAATTACGAATCGACATTGCCCGAGTCCTGCGAAAGCCTGACCCTGGAAACGACAGTTCTGAAAAATTAATGCCGTCTGCAGAAATTACCAGTGACAATAAGGTTAAGAGCAAATCTCCAGATGACAATCCTATGAAATGTTTTGGGCGACCCAATTCTCAGGTGCCAAATGAAGATGGAGGAAGCGTAAATTGTTGCACCTCACCAAGCTATGAAGGGGACCAACAACCCAAGCTGGAAGGATCTGTTTGCAGTGAAACATTTGCAAGCAGGAGAGTTGATACTTTCAGTGATTCTAAGGTGCCAAAAGGCATGTCACAGATGTGGGAATATGGCATGCCTCTGCCGACATCCCCTCACACTAGGCCTAAAAACAACACTCAAAATGTTTCCAGCAACAATTGCAATCGTCCACACCTCCATTCTCCTGATCCATCAGATGGCAAGTTTAAACTGAATGCAGCAAGCTCCTCAGAAACCCATCCCTTCAAAACTCAACAAAGCTTACCACAAGCTACATGTAGTTCAAGTCCTTCCAATAAGATCTCTGACAGCACCCCTCGCAGGGCTGACCGCAAATCTGTCTCTTTCCTCATTTCACCAACTGCCCAAGAAACTCATGATTTGCCACACGGTGCCAAACCGCCGATGACCCCATCACCAGTGCCCAAGTCGGCGCTTAAACAGTCCCTTAATCAAGTTTCCAGGCCTAGTCATCAACCCCCACATGTGTGTGCTATGGTAATGAACTCACCACCTGAACCCAAAGGTTCCCCAACCCACCCCACAGGAAGACACCCGCATGCCAAGGAACGAGTCAGGGTACAGTTTAGTGATGATGAGAACGATCAAGATAGCAACCAAGACTTGAATGCAAAGTATGCTGATGAAAGCCAAGCCTACACGGCTTACACCTCAAGGGGCCATTTCACACCACATCCAGGTAATTCCAAATTTGCAATATTCTGTGTAAAGTCCAGTTAACTCGTGACATTTGCTAGGACTAGTCAAACTACAGGTTGTTAACGAAGGCTTAGAAAATTAAAAAAGACAGAAATTCAGGACATAGGGGATCTCAGAATTTGGTCTTTGTAACAGATTTTGTAAAGAAGCGCTCTATATATTTAGATTCTAGTGTAGCATGAAATTTTGAAGATTATGGTAGAAGGGAAATTTCAGTTAGGTTTATGCAAATGAAGGGAATCGGCCATCATTCACAAAGGTTTTCTTGGAAGAGTTATATTTAGTAGGTTAGTGTTGAAAACAACCTTACTAATAAGGTTATACTTAAGATGAATTGGAACACCCTAGTGGTAAATTTTGTATATCATTTGGAAAAAAAAACCACTAAAATGATGGCAAAACTATTGTTTCATGTTATGGGTTTTCACCAATTTGTTTTGCAACTCTTCTAAGAATTGTGCTGAGGCTCATGCAAGTTTTTACTTCCCCCTCTTCATCCACTTTTACAGACAGCGGCCATATGGACCATCCACCCGCAGTAAGATCCAGCTATCGCGACCAACTGAGCAGGCATCCTGCAGAGAGCATCGAGGATACAGAAGACGCTCAGCCGCTGGCAAGAGAAGATAGCCGGGTGGACCTTAATCAGTTCTTAGACGACTTCCTGTCTCTAGTGGACAGATACTGGAATGGCACCAAGTCACTCCACAGACACGGCAAATTCCAAAGTAAGCTTCTCGTTGATGCTCCTATTGACAGCACCGAGGATGGCCCCAATCCACATCATTTAAAATTTAAGCTTAATTCACACAAGATTGTATGAAATATTCCAAATTCAAAAACTAGCGTCCGCTGGTCATTGACCTGTTGTTTAATGAATGTTTCATTTTGCTCTTGACACATTCTTGTCCCTCCTCTCCCTGTTTTCTCTGCAACAGGCCAAGCGCATTCAATGCTCGCCACGCTGGTCAACAGAATTCTAGGCAGTGTACCTCAACAGAGACCAGACATTCCTAAAGATTCCTCTGCAGACACCAACAAGCTGAGACAGGCCCTGCGAGCTGCCCAAGATCAAATGGTGAGAGGCATGATTGATGTTCTTACTCCAGTCCACAGCAGTGTTGTAGTCAAGACCACTTAGGACCTTCACAAGACCACACAAGACCAGCACAAGACCAACACAATACCTCCAGTCTGAATTCAAGCCACAAGCTATTCAAATGAATGGCAACAAAAGCATTCCTTTGTCATTGTTCACCCTTTTACTTGTGCCTGGTCTTGTGCCTGGTCTTGTGTCTGGTCTTGTATCTGGTCTTGTGCCTGGTCTTGTGCCTGGTCTTGTGTCTGGTCTTGTGTCTGGTCTTGTGTCTGGTCTTGTGTCTGGTCTTGTGATGGTCTTGACTACAGCACTGGTCCACAGCAGGTGGATACAGTTGACTGATGTACTAAGTACTTGAGTTTCAGTTATTATGAAGAAATAACTTCAAAACGTGCATAGCTTGTTTCTCACCACAAACATTTTGGGGGATAATCAAAAGGCCTCCCTTGTCACAAATCGGGGGAGGTTATACACCCTCTATCTTCCCTACTCAGATTTACACCTGTACAGCCAAGTTCACCCAAGGATATAGGTACACTAATAGCAGCAACAGGCATAACCTCATCTATGAAGACATCATCCTGCATGAAAACACAAGATTTTTCCCTTCTTTTATTTAGTTTATAGTGATGGGCCAGATCGTCAATATTCCTCATTTTGCAGGCCAATCTGAAAGATGAACTAGAGGCAGCACTTGCAGACAAAAGGAAACTCCAGGCCAACCTGGATGCAGTTCAGCATGAGACACCATCAAGTGACAGGCCAGGTGATAGGCCAGCAGATAGTAGCAGGCAAACTGACAGAATTGCTCGTTCAGGTAATCTGCCCTGAGCAGCAGTACCCCCTCATTGGTTGAAAAAAGCCATGTTGGTCAGGGTTACTCATTTTGTTGGTAGCGATGCAGCTGCAACGCTTGCATTTCATAGTCGTTCGTGAACCAGCAATGTGCAGTTACTTCCAAAGGAGCCTCCTTTGCTAGGAAAATTATGCCCTCTCCTGGTCAAGCTCAGCACCCATAAGTGTTTTGAGACTGATGCAGGCCTTCAATCTTTAAACGAATTTCCTTGGAACAATTTAAATATTTCACCATGTGATGTAAGTTTATGTTACAATTTCAAACTGCATTCTATGACAGAATCAGGAGCAGAGTATACTTTTCACAATACCTTCAGAGAAATAAACAAGGAGAAAAGTACTTCTTATCGTTTTGTTGGATTCAGTCACACGAGAAATGTGTTTTTTGTACCATTAAATGGTAGGTCTTTTGGAAAAAGAAGTTGAGAAGCTGCATCTTGAGAATGAAAGTTTGAAGCTTCATGTCAGGCACTTCAACCAGCTGCAGGAACTTGCTACTATGCTGCAGGAGAGCCACAAGTAAGTCTGGAAACCCGTTAAGTGCAGAAGTAACACACCCGCTGGTGATCAGGTGATTAACCACTC